TCTGTAAAGAAACACCTCAGTTGTGCCCCTGTGAGTTGGCCCATCCTGGTGAAAGTGACACTAAACTCCCACAAGGAACCATGTTGTGCTAAGAACTTTATTTTTAAGTCAATATTTATTTTCCCAATCAGCCAGACATTGTCTAAGCCCTTAAAGACCAACAAAAAAGGCCACAAAGCTCAAGGGGTGAGCCAGAACTGTGTGAATCCACTTTAAACTTTGTCTTTTGATGCTTTGCAGTCTGCTAATGAGTTTCACATGTAATACTGTCAGAAAATCATCTATTAAAAAGATTATGCTTGCAAAAAGTTCTAGGAAATAAGGAAGAGTGACAAGAAATAAACCTGCTTTTCATTCGGTATGCATACTGCTTTTCCTTCAACTTTTGAGGAAACTGGGCAAGAGAAGGAGAAAAGAAGAAATCTTTGGTGAAGAAATGTTGTGGGGCAGCCGCCCCGGTGTGAACGGGTCAGGAAATATTTTATTTGGCAATTTTGGTAGGCATTTAATGAGTAACACGACTTTTCTAAGTCTTTTCTGCTTCATTCACCGACTCCGTTCCTCCTGTGACCGCAGGGAAAGACCCCGTTAATGATAAAAATGCTCAAAACTTCCACAGAAACCCAAACAAAAAAGGCTCGACAGGATCTGAGAGAAGCATCTGGACCTTCAGCCGATCCATCTCCTGTTGGCCCTCCTCAAAAATGCTCTCCATTAAAAGGGAAACGGAGAGAAAAGGCGGAGCTCTGCCAAAGAACACAACAAGTGGCCTGAAAGCTCCGATCTTCATCATCCTGGAAACACAGTCACCACGGTGATGGAGAGATTTCTGTGTGTGGCAGCAGGGGGTGAGAGAGTCTGCGACTGGTGTGAAGTATCAACGGTCCACTTCCTGACTCGATCTGAGAGGCCCGGGTAAAGATAGTTAGAGGAAGCTGTGATCTGTCCTGAGATTTACACCGACAGGAACACAAGCAGGCAGCTAAAACAAACGAGAGCCGACGTGTGCCGAAACGGTCATCTGATGAAGAGGAGAGCAACAGAGGAAGAGGAGGAGATAAATAACTCCGGGGTCATTAAAAAGATTGATGAACCCGGGTTAAGAGCAGAGGCCACAGCTGGACAGATACTCCTGGTCCAGAAGGCAAACCAGGGCCCAAAACCAGCCGGTATTTGTTGCTACGCTGGACAACATATAAATCCCCCCCCCACCCCCCCATTTCCAGCTTAAGCTCCAACCAAGCCAGCATCATAACAAAGTGCATCATATGCACGCCGTCTGTCGCTTTCATTTTCTGACGTTACATCTATCCGTCTATTTGGGGAAAAAAAGAACAAAGTTTGATATGTTTACCTCCTGCACGATTACATAATACGCCACTAATCGGCCATCAATAAATTGGAGATATCTCAGGCTGTCCAAGAGCGTAACGATGGATTTGATTCCTGAGCCTGACCTCAGCAAAAGCCTCCGCGAGCTAAACTACTCGCAGGATAGATTATGACAAACAAAAAGCTAAACAAAAGCACATTTTCCTTTGAGCCAAATGTCGGGATCAAAAGAGAGGAGGTTCTCAAACCGGTTTGAGATTTCTCAAACTTTCCATCTTTGTGCCACATTCCCTTCACCATCATCATCATCATCATCATCATCATCACTCCCTCTTTGCCCAACCATGAGGAGCATGGTTAGTTAAATGACAAAAAACGGCTTCTTCCGGGTGTAAAAGTCCAGGATATCCACACACCAGCGAGGGGAAGGGGCGAGTCACATATGAGGGGGCGTTGTGGGGGGGGGCAGCGGCACACACTCTTCTTTGTGGCTGCACAGTCATGAGACATTGACACACTCACTGACAAATCAGAGCAGGTCTGATTAGTCAGCCAGCAGCTGGTCGCCTCCTTCCCAGATGTTTGCCCACTTGTTTAAACAAGATCGTAAACTTGACCCCATCGCCACTCGTTTAACGCTTCTATGCCACCAAAAGGCACAAAACGCCTCCATTTTGTGCTCGTTTACATTTGACAAAGCATAAAAATGAGTACAAGAGTAAACCAGTCCGGTAACATAGAGATTCACCTTCCTCACAGAGCTCCTCCCAGGAGTTTCAGACTCACTTTAAGCCTGTTAAGGAATACCAAGAACACCAGCTTAGAGGGTGATGTAACATCACTTCAAAAAGGGATGAATTCGTAAACTTTAGCCAGAGACATCCCCTCTCAGGTCTGTTAGCGGGTTCAATCATTAGCAGAAGGAAATGCTCTGCAGGGAGTGCACAATCATCCACTTTAAATGAGCGATCTTTATGGGAAATGACCCGAATGACCCGAACGCAGCCAGAAAACCGCCGACCAGAGGAGCCGGTGGCGGTGGAGGCTGAGACCTCCCGGAGGCCGCGGATATTTGTGGTTACAATGGCACTCATGGCCCACTTAGAAAGCTTACATCTGGGCTCACCTACAACTGCGAGATGGCCTTTTAATCCCCTCATGTGGAGACACGATAAAGGCCAGGATTAAAAGCCAGCCGCTCGCCCAGTCAGTCAACACTTGCATCATCAGCCCACTGCTGCCTTTAACCCGAACCGCTCCGGCAGAACTCAGCAGATTACCAGGCGCTGCGTTTACGGGCGCATAAAGCGGGAAAATGATGCCTCCTAAACGGGGAATGCACCACAGACTCACCCCCGTCCAGCCAGATATCCGCATTAAGTCTTGTAGCTCTAAGAAGGTATTCAAATCAATAAACTACACAGATTTCTTCCCTAATGTGCCCTTACTGAGTTAAATATAATACAGGATGTAAAATATGGCCTAACTAACACTTATCTGCAATCATTAATGTGTAATTAATGGTTAAGAAACACTTTTCTAAGACAGAAGTAAAGTCCTTTAATCACATGTAGCTCCAAGAAGGTATTCAAATTAATAAACTACACAGATTTCTTCCCTAATGTGCCCTTATTGAGTTAAACATTATACAGGATGTAAAATATGGACTTACTAACACTTATCTGTATTCATTAATGTCTAATTAATGGATAAGAAACTATTTTCTAAGACAGGAGTAAAGTCCTTTTGAAAATGCCCAAATGTGCATTTTTATTGCAAAAAGGCCCCAAATGCTTGAAGTGTTTGGTCATTTAAACGCTGACCTGCAGATTTGGCTTGAGTTTGCTCCCCAGGCAAGATTCAACCCAACATTTGTGACTGAATGACAGAAACAGGAACTATCTGCCCTGTGCGGCTGCTGGATCACTGTCAGTTATTCCAATACCTCCTTCCCTTTAAAAGTAAAAACATTAATTTAAGCTGATCTTTTCAAATCAAAGTCTTTGTACAACCAGTATATGTGACCAGGTACATGTACAAAATCAAAGATGTTAATTATACGCATAATAGATTCCTTGTCAAACACTGTTGTTTCATTGAACTTCGTATCAACTTCTAATCAGTTTTCTGAAAGAGATAAGGCACATTGGGGCATAAATGGGGAGCCTTCTTTAATCCTAATAAGTCAGCCTGACCTCTGGATATACAAACCCATGAACTTCCTTTGGTCCAGTATCAGAAGTCACACCAGTGGCGCCTTTGGAAAGTTTTTGTAATAGTGCTACTTTCATGGGTGGCCAAGGTTTATTATAAAAAAATATTCTGCTTGTCTATTTTTTATTTTCTGTCTGCATTTGAAATATGATTCTACCAACCAGATTAAAGCAAAAACAATTAGTGTAAACTGTGTTTTCAACGATGTTGTTTACGTCAAAAACGGCTAAATCTTTGCTAAAGTTTTAAACTTCTATCCTCTTCCGGGGAAATTCTCCAGAATGTCAGCCGAAAATAGACAGCTAGGCTGACGTTAAAAGCAGAGTTGAGAGGTTTTTAACACTCTCGGCTGTGTTATTAGCCCACAGGGCCATCATTTAGAGCGTTAAGTGGCACGGCTGAACCAGCTAGCATGCTAGCTTGGCCACACAATGCTTCCCCCCGCGAGCCTCCAATGCGGCGCGAGGCTCCGCGAACGTCCAAAAACCGCCAGCACGCGCCGCTCCGGTTGGGAAAAAACCGCCGCCCCACTTGCCTTTTTCATCCGTGGAGCCTCGGCCACGGTGCCGTCCCGGTTCACGAAAGCCTCCCCGCCGTTCTGCTGGGGGTCGGTTCGCTTCATAGCCGACGCCTGGGGCAGCTTTGCGGCGTTTGGGGTGAGCAAACCCGGAGTCCCGTCCCCGGCTTTGGCTGAGGGCTCCGTAGAAGGAGACGTAGCGGCGGAGGAACCGGCCTCGTTTCGGCCCAACGTCTTGTCCTCCGACGTCGGTGTCACCGGGGACTGAGCCGGTAAGTCTTTGCCGGCGTCTTTGAGTTCGACCTCTGCCATTTTCGCTGCCACAACCTGGACTGACATCGCTGCAGTTTCTCAAAGTCCTTTTTCCAGCACAGAAAGCGAGTCGAGCGGATGTGAGCGGAAGCTCAGCGGAGCCGCAAAGCATTGTGGTCACTGTAGTTCCCGTTGTGTGCTCAAACGCTCTCCCCTGCGTTACCCTCTCTCAAAATTTACAACATCACGCCTAAAATCCAACACTTCACTTAAGACACAAAAAACAAAAACGAAACATGAAAATAATGTCCAATGTTTAAGACAACACAAATGACATTTGCTAATCTGACTACATATCCCATAAGAAAGCACCGCTCTTAGAGATACATTGCGGGAAATGCAGTTTGTATTGAAAACGACGTATGAAAAAATGCAAAACAAACGCAGCGTGTGTGAGACAGTGCTCTGCATCGACAGGAGTCTCTCAATCATTTCAAACATGTCAGTAAAATATTCTTCACTCATACTCACAAAAAATTACTGCAAATTGTAATAAATTGACTTCTAAATCTCTCTATCCATATACATGTATATATGTATCTGTAAGACATTGTCAAAGCTGTGTCCAAATTACATGATGGGAATTTTAATATACATGATATTTAGACAGAATGTTATCTTATATCCTGAAGCTAGTCTCTGCATCACATCTCTGCTTATGTGATTTGAAAGGAGAAAAAAAAATAAGGTCAACCTGTTTAATGGGACACATACTGCCTCCCACTGGTCTGTTTTTGTCATTCACACCTTGTAAGAACCAGGTTTATTTAAAAATCTCAGTTTAATTGACAGACCTCAGGAGAAATATCTATAAAACAGCAGTTGCAAACATGTGGGATATGAATGAGGCTAAATGGTAAAGAAAAAATCTGTAAATTAATGACATAAATATGCCTGTTTCATAATTTCCCGATTTTAGCATGAAAAACATTGCAACTACAGAGGATTCTTTTGAGCATTTTGTAAAAATCCACACTTTTAGCTTTATTTAAGCATATACTGATAGGTTCCCAACAGTTGCAAACATTTATTTTAACAAAACAACTCCAAACTACTCAGTAAAGGTTTGCTGATGGCAGAAAAATGCACGGCAGGTCCACACATACTCTATTTACATTCAAGCTAATGGGTCTGAGCCCTTTGCGATCAAGCTGGCATATCTGAGGTATATGATTTACAAGGCTGCCATGCTGGTACATTCTCAAAATGTAAAAGTCAGAATGCAAAAAGCTCTAAAAAAATTAAAACAAACCCAAAGCTCTTTGTGTCTTAAGGACTCTGCGGTGTAACAGAAACTAAAACAGCCAAAGAGTCCCAAAGCTTGCATGGATTATGTCTCAAACTGAGTGCATTTACCCCCAATGTGCAGCTGATACTGAGCCTTACAACACTTTTATGAGGTTTTTTTTGGGGGGGGGGGGATGCACAGGCAGCAGTTAACTATTCAAGATGAGGCATCAGTCCTCAAATATCCACAGGATGTTGACGCCAGAGAGTCCAAGATTCACCCTCCTGGAGAAAAACGGATTAACAGTTTAACTATAAACACTCTTTTTGTCTTTTTTAAGGAATCGTGCGAAAACTCACCCGAGCATCCCCGACTCTTTGGTCTTAATCACAAAGAGAAACATGAGGATGGTGTGGAACAGGTTGTTTCTGCCCTGGAGCACAGACAGAGACGTGTTTGGGTCACTGACATCATCAGTTCAAATGTTATGAGTGAGCAACATAATCTGGATAACGTCTGTTGTTCTGCACCTAAAAGTTGTTATTTTATCATTCACATGGCACAAAAATTGGGGAATAAGAATCTTTTAATACAAACCATAAGGTTTTGATCTAATCAATTAGCGGCTTTGTATCTAATTATCAGTAAAGTATTCTGAGAAAAACTTAAGTGCAAAATACTAGGTTATTTTCACTGTAATCGATAATCAGGATTAAAGTTCCCGCCCTAATAAAATGGCCGACCTTAGGAAGGCTGTAGATGTGGCCCTGGTAGATGAGCTGGTAGTGAGGCGGAGTGGTGCTGCTCTGGTGGATGCAGAAGAGGGTCTCCTTGGTAACATCTACAGCCAAAGAAACCACAATTAAAACCGTAGAAGAAGAGAGGAATTCACAGAGATTTCCCTTTTCATCAGCCTGTGCGTGCACACCAGGTTTGTCGGGGGTGTGGCTGAAGTGCTGAGAGGTGAAAGTCTTCCCGTCTGGGTACTTTGGGTGTGGAGGAAGCCTGGAGTCCAAGTATGTGCAAAAGACATGCATGAGAATCTGACAAAGCAAAAAAAAAAGATTAAAATGGCAGAAACATCTGTGGCTACATTCAAAAGAGATGAAGAAGCACTACAGCGGGGAGCAGGATGGACTCACAGCACAGTCGGTGGGGATGTCTGTGTCCCACTTCCTGTTCTTCAGGTCGCCGCCGCCGTTCCAGCGGAACGAGCTCATGCAGCCGCTGTGAGCCAGCTCTGAGAAACACGCACAGGAATCTCAGTCAAAGGTATCGATACTCAAAAAAGTATCGATGCTAAAACGTTGTATCCGGATACGATACTCATTTCCAAAAGTAGCGATACCACGAAGCTGTGCCCCTTCTCTGTGATTTATCTATTTATTTATTTGCATTGTTTATGATCATTAACGTGACGTTAGCCTTGAATTGCTAGCTGCGGCTAATGGCTAATAATAACATGCCAATATTAATTTGGGCCACCGGCCACCATAACATCAGTAATAATCAGTAAGTTTGAAACCAAAGATACTAAAATGTTCAAATTCAGTTCAATTTTGGGGTCTTTGTTTTTATCCTTGTGGTATCAAAAATGGTATCGAGTATCAAATATTTTTCTAAGTATCGGTATCGAGTTGAACTGTTTAGTATGGTGACACTGTACAATCCCCCCCCTTCCTTCACCATCTGGATCTCTGCTCTTTACCAGCAACACTTTCCAGGCTGAACTCACCCTTTAGTCTGTCAACTAGATACTCCTGGTTGGGTGTGATGTCCAGGTACTGGACTATGGAGTTCAGTGTGGGGATCAGAGAGGCCTTCATCACCGCTGCCTGTCTCAGGCTGCTGATGCTTGCCTCTGGTGGAGGAAAACAGGAGAAAAGGTGTTTTTGTCAGATGGGGCTTTAACAGTTGGCCAGCAGCCGACTCTGGAGCAGCTCTACCTCCGATCTGGGGCTCCGGGCATCCCATCCTCCGGAGCTGGCTGTTGACAGTGTCGATTTCCTTAACCAGAGGGACCAGGATGGTGTCGCTGATCCACTGTAGATGCAAAGTAAACTCAATTTGTAAATGCTTTTGATTTACAAAAGGCAACAGCGTGAAATCGTCAGGTTATGATGATATTATGGTTATGGAGCTGTGGGGTCTGGATCTGTGGTTGGGAGTTTCCTGCTGCCCCCGTGTTCCTGCTCTGTTGCCGTCATAACTTCTACCATCATCATTAGTATTAACATCATTGCTATTTTTCATCTAGTCTACGTGTGGCTGTGTTGACTGCCTCTCTCGCCCTCTCTCTCTTGCCCTCTGTCTCTCTCTCGCCCTCTCTTTCCCTCACCCCCAACCGGCCGAGGCAGATGGCCGCCCACCCTGAGCCATGGTTCTGCTCGAGGTTTCTGCCTGTTAAAAGGAAGTTTTTCCTTGCCTGTGTCGCCTAGTGCTTGCTCATGGTGGGAATTGTTGGGTTTCTGTAATTATCTTCAGAGTAGGGTCTGACCTGCTCTGTTTGGAAAGCGCTGTGAGACAACTGTTGTTGTGATGTGGCGCTATATAAATAAAATTGAATTGAATTGAATTATGAACACATCTACAAACATTTCGGAGCTTTGCGGTCCAGCTATCGATGCGGTCCACGACGGCACGGCTGCTTGTGATTCTGGCCCACACCTACGCATCACAAAAGGGAAAAAACACTTCATAACCACCAACAAAAACACAGGCAAGGCTTTAATCGGCTTTCTTTCACCCAGGAGTGGACACAGACCTCCTCGGCGGCCTGTTTGGAGCCCAGGTCCGTCTCGTCCTTGTTGGCGGACGGCGCCTGGGAGCGGCACGCCGGCTGATAGAGGAACTTCCTCAAGCTCTGGGCGTAGTCTCCCACCGAACGGTTGTAGTTCCAAAACGTTGGGCTGTGGCTCGGAGACACAGCCTCCGGACTGCCTGCAGATGGAATCATCCAGATACTGGTTTAAAATTACGTTTCCTGGGGCCGTGACTGGGGTTGTCACGATACTAAACTTTTCAGGAAAATATTCGATACTTGATACCATTTTTGATTCCTTAAGGATAAAAACCCTAACCCTAACAAACTGGTCATGTTTACCTCGTGTAAACATGACCAGTAACCCTAACCCTAACCAAAAATGTTACTGAATTTGGACAGGTTAGTGTGTTTGGTTTCAAACTTACTGATTATTACTGATGTTATGGTGGCGTGTTATTATTAGCCATTAGCCACAGCTAGCAATTCAAGGCTAACATAACATTAATTATCATAAACAATGTAATTAAATAAATCAGACAGAAGGGGGGGGGTGTCGATACTTTTGAAAATGAGTATTGTATCCGGATACAACGTTTTAGTATCGATACTTTTTCGAGTATCGATACTTTTGACAACACCTGCTCTCAGAAGAGGAGCTCCTGCAGGAACCCACCCAGCTGGCTGCGGTGACTCTTCTCCTCCTCTGTGCGCAGGAACCTCTCCAGACTTTTCAGATCCTCCATGTAGTCCTCTTTGCTTCCCGGGGAGTTGAACACTGACGGGGACGTGCGATACCGAGCCCTCAAGCTGGAGCCTTCCGCCGACCCGACGCTGTTGGAGTAGGGAGAGGATCCAGAGGAAGGACTGTAGCTCAGCACCTGGAACAAAAGGAAGCTAATCAGCTAATCCATACTACAATCCAATACTACAGGTTCTCCACTCGGATTGCCCACAAGGAACAGTGTCCTTTTTGCAGTCATAAAAGTTGGTCATATGGTCTTGTTGCCTTTCTTTCTCCTTTTTTTTATCTTTATTTTTTTTTCTCCCTCCCCCCTCTCTCCCTTTCTAAAGGATCTCTCTCCTTTCCACTACTCTTCCTTCCCCCTTGTCCCTCTGTCAGGTTCGGCATTATGGGACATATGGAAGTTTGGTAACAAAAATGAATAAATAAAGAAGTTTTGGGTAATCAAGGGGGGCTTCTCACTAACAAAGCCTCCCTAGGCAAAGCTATTTTGCTCAGCATAACACGGTACGCAGATTTCAGTTCTACTACCATAATCCTCAACAGGACAAGGTAAAAGAAAATAAAAAATCAGCTAATCCACTTCAGAGCTTTTTCTTCTTATCAAACTCAAATAACTGATGAAGAGATATGCACCTTTCCGAAGGCCACTGAGGGGGAATAGGGGCCTCCTGCGCTGCTCGCTGTGGAGGGGTTACTGAGAGAGGGGCTGTAGCCCGTGACACAGCTCGGGGAGAACTTGGGACTGCTGGAGGCCGGCCGGGAGGGGCTGAAGCTCAGCACACTCTGACCCTGCAGCGGACACGACTCGGCTGGAGCCGGGGTTTCCTTCTTTTCCGGCTTCTGTGGTGGAGAGGCCTGGAAACCTACAAGAGAACGTCCAACAAACATTTCTCATGAGAGGATGAAGTCCTGACAGCATGTTTTAACACTTGGGAAATATCAAAAGATTGTGTTGAAAGCCTCACTTGTGTTTCTTAAGCCCAGGAGGCGGTGCTGCTCGGGGGTCACAGTAATGGTGGACGGAGCCATAGTGTATTTGAAATATTTCCAGAAGTCAAAAAGAGCATTTAGACTGAAGAGGGAGGCAAATGCCAGCTCTGTGAAAGAGGATCGAAAATGGACACTCAGACATAAAAACTAGTTTCCTGGTTGAATGTATTGTTGAAAAAATACTTTTAAGTAAGAAAAATAGCTTTACTTTGCAGGATTATTCACTTTAATTAAAATCACAACCCAAAAATCATAAGCTGCTACGACTTATCAAAGTATTAACCTTATAACACGGGACACCATCTTAAAAATAGACATAGAATCTCACCAATGTACCAGATAGGCCAGTAGGTGATGTTGTAATACCGACACAGCAGTTTCCCCGACCTTACAGACACATGAGACACAATATATTAATATCAATGTGACCATAACAGGTTTAGGACAATATATCAACATGACAATTACATTTCGGTGTAAATCATGCCAGCCAGGGACACGTTGAGGACAGCCCAGGCGAGGACGACCTGTCGAGCCTGCTCTTCCCTCCTCATCTTCAGTGCCCTGTCGATCATACAGGGCGTCCCTTCCCTCGGTGGGGTCAACATGGTTCAAGTACAGATTAGGCTGGGAAAGTTAGGTAGGAGAGTAACACATTCTGAGATTCGAAAGAAGGCCAAAAAATGTGTTTGCGACATCATAATTCAGATTAAATATTCACAAAGTAAAGTGGTGAACTGTCTTTTCTAACCTGGCATATGATTAAGTTGAAAGCTAGCTATTAACTCCATAGGTAGCAATGTTAAATGAGCCTGCTAGCTAAAACGTTAGCTTTAGCTAACTTGTAAACAAAACAAAGCAGCGGAGAGAAAGTTCAGTTTTAGAAATTTCAGTTTAGAGAGAAATTGTACACTCGAAGTAAAGCTTTGATGCAATTTGTACCTAAAAAACACAATGAAAGTTAGAAAATATTCATACCACGATGATGCAAATGACGGCTACGGCGCTGCATAATTCGTAATTCAACCGGAAGTTATTTTATCCACTTCCGGTTTATTTTCTTCCCATTTTTTCGGCAAAATTGAATTAAGAAAGTAAATAGATACATGTAAAAACTCACAACAAGACACTTATGTCAGATTTTTAAAAACATTTAAAAAACAAATCCTAAATAAATCTGAAGAATACTCTAATTTAGGCTATGTTGGTCTATTTATGAAAATATAAAAATAAATAGATTTCAATGTCTACATTTCAGTTCTTATTAACCCCAGAGTTTATTAATTCAAAGTCAAATATGATCTAGCATGGAGTGCTGGATAGTCTAGTTTAGCCTTAATTTTGACAATTTGTCCCCTTTCATGTCCTTCAAAAGCATTGTGGGGTTAGTTCCATCAATGTAGAAAATCTAATTTAATCATTTAATTGGTTCAACTTTAGCATGTTGATTCATGTACTGAGACATTTATATACTTGTTATTCTTAACTCACCTGTTCCAGCACTCCATGGGCTTTTTTCTCATGTATGCAGAACTCTTTCCATAGTTTACAGTATTTGTCCTTCCACCAGTGAGCCGTTGAACAATCCTACCCCGATATAATGTTCTCACTATAAATCAGGTGGAATTGTTACGATCACATACCCTCAAATATGTAGAAAAGTAGCCAACGAAAAAAAATGACAGGTATGTAACATAAAGAAGACAGTACTTTTGTAAATTCTGTTTCCTGTTTATTTATTAAAACAATCAACAGTTTGGTTAAGAGTTCATAGTCAGTCATTACTTTAATGCCCATATTCTTAAGATGAAAAAGTATAAAGACTTCAGCTTTGAACCTTTCAGCTCAGAATTCGTATTTGACATTATTGTGCAAAAACAAAAGAAGACCTGCCCCTTTTTGAGGCAAAAAGTTATTGAAATTTCACATAACCCACCAAAGCTGAAATAAAGAGGCAACAAATACAGAAAGTCAAACAGAGATCTCGTGAGATATTTAGAATTTGGATTCCTTATGGCGATATTTGGCAGATACAAGAGGTAAACATGACCAGTAAATAAATAAAAATCTTAAGAGGCACAGTTTTCAATGAGGCGGCGACAGGGATTTGTCAGAGTTATATCCTCCCACGTCCAATCCACAGTCTTCTTCGCTGGCTGTATCCACAAGTCTTTCTCCTCTTCGTCTCCTACTCCTCCCTCTGCTTTCATCCTCCTCTTCCTCCTCATCCCCGTCCTGCTCCTTACTCCCCGGCCTCTCTGTCTTGGGGCCTTTGCAGATCTTGAGGTGGCGCGTGAGGTGGTACTTGGTGAGGAACGCTTTGTGGCACTTCTCGCAGACAAAGTCTCTTCGGCCTTCGTGGGAGTTCATGTGCTTCTTCAGGTGGTTGGTTTTCAGGAAGTGTTTGTTGCACTTTGGGCACTGGATCCTGCGCTCGCTGTTGGAAAACACAAGAGGAAAACACATAAAAACCACTCTAACCGGCGTCCAAACGGGCTCCGGATGCCTCTGGAGGAGGGAACCTGCACTCACTGTGTGTGGGAGAACATGTGCTGCTTCAGGTCGTGTTTCCTGAAGAAGGCCCGCTCGCACAGGTCGCACTTCAGCTTCTCGGCCCCGGTGTGGATGAGCATGTGCGAGGCCACGTGAGACTTCTGGGTGAACGACTTCTCACAGACCGAGCACCTGTAGTTCTTCTGACCTGTCGGGATGATGAAGGCGTCAAAGGGTCAGGAGGCCGGCACCAGGAGAGGAAGTGTATCTGCTTTTCTCTCTCTTTTCTTTTCTCTCTTTTCTTTCTCTTTTCCATATGCTGAATGTTTTCCAGCTGTGAATAATCTCAAATTCAGCTACAGTTTCAGCTCCAGTCGATTGTTTGATTAGACCATCAATTTCTTTTTTCTTTTCTTTTTTTTCACATTTATTTTTTATTTTTAAGTCAGTATTTATTTACATTAAATGTAATTTATTAATTTATTGAAGGCACATAGCAAAATCTTAAATTCTCCCATTAAAATAATATTTTACCATAAGTCAGCCATTCAGCAAGTTGTCTAATATATTAAAAACTTGTGAACGTTCCATTTATCAATGGCAAATATCACCTGTGGTGATGTAGACCATCAATTTCTATTGATCCGTTTATTTATTCCTCTATCCATGCTGGAGAAGCAATTAAATTTTATTTATATAAGGCCACATCACAACAAAAGTTATCTCACAGCGCTTTCCAAACAGAGCAGGTCAGACCCTACTCTGAAGTTAACTACAGAAACCCAACAATTCCCACCAAGAGCAAGCACTAGGCGACACAGGCAAGGAAAAACTTCCTTTTAACAGGCATTATTGTTATTTATTGTTTTTTGTGTTTATTTATCTTTTATGTTTTCCTGTCTCTTTCTGTTCACCTGTATGATGCTAAATGCTTGATAACCCCCATTTAAGGCAATAAAGTTTTTTTTTTTTAATTGTGACAGACTAGACCCAATTTCTGTTATTTATTAATAATTAATAATATTTTTATTATTATTTATTGTTTTTGTGTTTATTTATCTTTTATGTTTTCCTGTCTTTTTCTGTTCCCCTGTATGATGCTAAATGCTTGATAACCCCCATTTAAGGTAATAAATTTAAAAAAAAAAAAGTGTGACAGACTAGACCCAATTTCTGTTATTTATTAATAATATTTCTATTATTATTATTTATTGTTTTTTGTGTTTATTTATCTTTTATGTTTTCCTGTCTTTTTCTGTTCCCCTGTATGATGCTAAATGCTTGATAACCCCCATTTAAGGCAATAAAGCTAAAAAAAATAAAAAAAAAGGTGGGCGCCTCTCTGAATACCTGTGTGGATCTTCAGGTGCATCCGGAGGTTGCTGGGGTCGCTGAAGGCCTTGCTGCAGTACTCGCACTTGTGGGGCTTCATGCCCACGTGTCCCATGAAGTGCACGTTGAGCTTGGTGGAGGTGATGAAGGCCCGGGAGCACATGCTGCACTTGAACTTCTTCTCCCGGACGTTGGTTTGGCCTTTGGCCCTGGAGGAGCTCCGGCCCCCCCCGTCCTGGTGGCCGTTCAGGGGCCAGGGGGAGGAGGACGAGCTGGAGCCGCCATTGGCCAGTTTCTCCCCCGGGTGGATGTTCGGCTGCTGCTGCTCCTGTTGCCGTGGCGGCGGTGGCGGGGGGGGCGGGGGCTGCTGAGTGGGGTCCTGGTGGGGGGGGCTGTGGCCGTGGGGGGGCTGGGTGTGGCCCCGGCTGCTGTTGTGGCTGCTCAGGTGAGACTTGAGCTCAGAAAAAGACGAGCACTCTTTGCCACACTGGCACATCTGGCCCTCCGGCACCTGGGGAACACCTGGGGGACCGAACGATGACGTCATGGTCACTTCTGGGTTATGAGTAGGGCTGTCAAAAGTATCGATACACAAAAAAGTATCGATACTAAATAATAACACGCCAACATTAATCAAGTCCGTCTGGCTGCAGACTGCAGAAGGCCAAGGATGGATATCCAACTCCGCCCAAATCCAAGTCGACCATTTTGATTAGGTCACCAATAGGAAGATTGCAGGCAAGAAAATGGTAATTGCTTAATGGCAATATAGACATTAATTTAAAAATAGTGAAATGAATCTTGCAAACACTGAATTAAACTCTATCCATAATATTATGTTAAAATAGTGGATGTTAAATAGGTTTGTACAATAAGTCTAAACATATTTAACCAAAAAATATTTATTCCTCACAATTATGAAGGGTGGAGTGTTAGGGTCAGGGTTAGGGTTAGGGTTAGGGTCATTCATTTGAAACAAAAGAGAATAACCTGTCAAAATTCAGTTAAATTTTGGGGTCTTTGTTTTTATCCTTGTGGTATCAAAAATGGTATCGAGTATCGAATATTTTCCTGAGTATCGGTATCGAGTTGAAAATGTTAGTATCGTGACAACCCTAGTTATGAACATCCGCTCGCTCCTCTGTGCACACACACTCACCCATCAGCCTGCAGTAGTCCCGGCTGTAGTAGAAAAGCAGCTCCTGGTCCGGGTGGATCTCTGTGGTGGTGCAGAAGAAAAGCTTCCCATTGGCCGGGTACGCCACCAGATTCTGCTCCTCGTGGGTCCTGAATGCACCAAACGTCCAGACTTACTTCAGACACTGGTTTGTTTTGATGGTTTATACAATATGTTTCTTTATGACACGCAAAAAACGAATAAACTCTCATTTTAAGGCTCTTTTTCCACACCTTGCCTTGCGGACAAACATCATCCAGTTGCATTCGTTCTCATCTGTTGTCACGATGTAGAACTCCAGCACGTTGTTGTGATACATCTGCAGCACATAACGCCTGTTTTCATGTCTCTGCGTTTGGATTTTTCCGTCCAATGAGCAGGATTCTGCGCTGGTGACAAACCTTCCATATCTGAGGGGTTTCCTTCTCTGGCCAATCGGAGAGATCCACGTTGCTGCAGTGCTGGCCCACCATTGGTCCAAAGCAGGTCCTCGGGGGAATGACATCCCGTGCAAAAACCCCTAAGATGGAAGATGCATGACCAATGATGACCATTTATGACCGCGGGCCAGTTATGATGAGAGAAACCGCAAACTTAACTCATTGACTGCTAGCCATTTTCAGAAATTGTTTCTACCTTATTCCGTTCTTCCTCGACTTGCGTCTCACCGGTGCCATTTTTCGCATAGCGAACCATTGCGTATTTTTTATTTGCCTACAGTCTATGCTCATCTCCCATCAAAAGTGGCACTGCCCCCTAGAGGGTCAATTTGTTACTACATACTCTGTCTAGAAGCCGATATTTACGGACAAGCTTTAGCGGATCGTCCCCCAAGTCACTTGCGTTGAAAAACATAAAAGACGTCTATAGACGTCTTTGGCATTCAGCGGTTGGATTTGAATTAACGTCTATAGACGTCTTTGGCAGCGAATGAGTTAATGATGTTTGTTCTGTTACCGAGAGGCTCGTCGGCCACTGAGATGCGCAGGCAGAGCGGGCGGGGCAGAGAGAGCCGAGCCCGGCTCTGGATGGGCGTGTCGT